GTTTTCAGCTCCATCAGGTCATTTAAGGTCTTCTCCATGCTGTTTATTCTAGTTAGCCATTCATCTAATCTTTTTTCAAGGTTTTTAACTTCCTTGCGATGGGTTTGAACATGCTCCTTTAGCTCAGAGAAGTTTGTTATTACCAACCTTCTGAAGCCTACTTCTGTCAACTCGTCAAAGTCATTCTCCGTCCAACTTTGTTCCGTTGCTGGTGAGGGGCTACAATCCTTTGGAGGAGAAGAGGCACCCTGGTTTTCAGAATTTTCAGCTTTTCTTCTCTGGTTTCTCCCCATCTTTGTGATTTTATCTACCTTTGGTCTTTGATGATGGTGACCTACAGATGGGGTTTTGGTGTGGATGTCCTTTTTGTTGATGTTGATGCTATTCCTTTCTGTTTGTTCATTTTCCTTCTAACAGTCAGGACCCTCAGCTGCAGGTCTGTTGGAGTTTTTTGGAGGTCCACTCCAGACCCTGTTTGCCTGGGTATCACCAGCGGGGGCTGTAGAACAGCAAATATTGCAGAACAGCAAATATTGCTGCCTGATCCTTCCTCTGGCAGCTTCATCTCACAGGGGCACCCAGCTGTATGAGGTGTTAGTTGGCCCCTACTGGGGAGGTGTCTCCCATTTAGGCTACTTGGGGGTTAGGGACCCACTTGAGGAGGCATTCTGTCCGTTCTCAGAGCTCAAACTCCATGCTGGGAGAGTCACTGCTCTCTTCAGAGCTGTCAGAGAGAGACGTTTAAGTCTGCAGAAGTTTCTGCTGCCTTTTGTTCAGCTAAGCCCTGCCCCCAGAGGTGAAGTCAACAAAGGCAGATAGGCCTCGTTGAGCTGTGGTGGGCTCCACCCAGTTTGAGTTTCCTGGCTGCTGTGTTTACCTAGTCAAACCTCAGCAATGATGGACTCCCCTCCCCCAGCCTGGCTGCCGCCTGGCAGTTCGATCTCAGACTGCTGCACTAGCAGTGATCTATGCTCTGTGGGCATGGGACCCACAGAGCCAGGTGTGGGATATAATCTCCTGGTGTGCCTCTTGTGAAGACCACTGGAAAAGCATAGTGTTAGGACGGGAGTGTCCCGATATTCCAGGTACTGTCTCTCATGGCTTCCCTTGGTTAGGAAAGGGAAATTCCCTGACCCTTTTCACTTCCCAGGTGAGGCAATGCCCTGCCCTGCTTTGGCTTACACTCCGTGGGCTGCACCCACTGTCCAACCAGTCCCAGTGAGATGAACCACATACCTCGGTTGGAAATGCAGAAATCACCCATCTTCTGCGTCGATCACGCTGGGAGCTGTAGACCTGAGCTGTTCCTCTTTGGCCATCTTGGAACAATCCACGTGCCACATTTTCTTTATCCAGTCTATCCTTGATGGACATTTGGGTTGGTTCCAAGTCTTTGCTATTGTGAACAGTGCCGCAGTACACATACATGTGCGTGGGTCTTTATAGTAGAATGATTTTAAATACTTTGGGTATATACCCAGTAATGGATCATTATTTATGTTTTCTCAGTGGCAGTTGTCTCCTGATCTGTTGGCTTCACTATACTTGAGTAATAATAAAATCTACATTTTAAAACGCATGAGATGTTTTTAACGTATATTTGCCTTAGTTTCTTTCAGCAATGTTTTGTGGGTTTTTTGTGTTGAAATCTTTTGTCTCCATTGTTCTTTATTCCTAAGTATTGTAGTCATTTCCATGCTATTGTGAATATGATTGTTTTCTTAATTTTCATCTTGGATTGTCTGTTGTTAGTATATAGAAATGCAAGTAATTTTTGTGTGTTTTTGTAGCCTACAATTTTGCTGAATTTATTTTTTATGTGTAAGTATGGCTAGATCTTGTCATTTTCAGAGATATTTTTATTTCTTTCTTTCCAATTTGGATGGCTTTTATTTTTCTTGCCTACTTTTTCTGGCTAGAACTTAAATTTCTAGCCCATGGATAAAGCAGGCATATTTGTCTTTCTCCTGATTGTTGATGAAATACTATGATGTCAGTTGCAGATTTTTATATATGGCCTTTATTATGTTGAGGAAATGTCCTTCTATTCCTAGTGCATTGAGTGTTTCATCATTTAAAAAATGTTAATATTTTTCTGCATCAATTGAGATGATTATGTGTTTTTTCCATTCTTTTCTGCATGTGATGCATTAAACTAATTGATTGTGTTTGTTGAATCCTCTTTGTACTCCAGATATAAATCCTCCTTGGTCATGATATATAATCCTTTTAATATGCTGGGGATTTTTACTTGCTAATATTTCTGTTGAGAACCTTTTCATCAATACTCATAATCTCTCCATGTCATGTTTTAGCCTGGCTTTGCTATCAAGGTAATCCTGGCCTCATAAAATAAGTTAGAAAGTGTTATCTCCATTTCAGTTTTCTGGAAGAGTTTGAAAAGGATTATTGTTTATTCTTCTTTAAATATTTGGTAGAATTCACCAGTAAAGCCCCCTGGTCCAGGGTTATTCTTTGTTGAGTGGTTTTATTACTGATTTTATGTCCTTACTAGTTATAAGTCAGTTCAGATTTTGTATTTCTTCATGACTCAGGCTGGGTAGTTGTATTTTCCTACAAATTGGTTCATTTCATCTATGTTATTCAATATTTTGGCATACAGTTGTTCATAATACTCTGAGATCATTCTTTTTCTGTAAAATCAGAAGTAATGCTCTCACTTTCATTTCTGATTTTTAGTTATTTGAGTCTTCTCAATTGTTCTTAGTCTGGCTAAAAGTTTGTCAATTTCTTTATCTTTTCAAATTATTAACTTTTGGTTTTGTTGAATTTCTCTATTATTTACCTATTCTCTATTTATCTCAATTCCTTTTTTCTCCTAAATTTATGTATACTTTACTCATCTAGTTCCTTAAGGTGTAAAGTTAGGTTATTTATTTGAAATTTTTATTTTTCTTTAATGTAGGTATTTACAGCTATAAATTTCCCTCTGAGTACTGCTTTCACTGCATCTTACAAGTTTTAGTATGTTGTGCTTTTGTTTTATTTGTCTCAAGGCAGTTGCTACATTTCCTTCTGATTTCTTCATTTAGCTTTTGGTTGGTTAAGAGTGTTTTGCTTCATTTCCACATATTTATGAATTTTCCAGTTTTCCTTTTGCTATTGTTTTCTAGTTTTATTCCTTTGTGATAAGAAAAGGTATTTTGTATAATTTCAGTCTTTAAATGTAATAAAACTTGTTTTGTAGAGTAATATGGTTTATCCTGGATATGTTCTATGCACACTTGAGAAAAATCTGTATTCTGTTTTTGCTGGGTGGCATGCTCTGTGTATGTTAGGTTAAATTGGCTCTCTTTTTCCTTACTGATCTCGAACCCAGGAGGTGGAGGTTGCAGTGAGCCGAGATCACACCATTGCACTCCAGCCTTGGTGACAGAGCAAGACTCTGTATGCTTGTCAATCTATGTAAAATAACCACAGAGATTTTGAAAGGGATTGTGCTCAATCTGCAGAACAAATTTAGGTGTATTGCCATCTTAATAATATTGTCTTCTGATCCATATAAGTGAGGCATCTTTCCATTTATTATGCTTTAATTTCTTTCAACAGTGTTTTATAGTGTTGTGTAGAACTCTTGCACTTCTTTTGTTAAATATACTTTGTCATTTTAATTGTTTGATAAAATTTGTTAAGTCTGGTTCTAGCACTGATCCCTAGAAAATTTCAAAGAGACACTTTATCTCTCTATTTTTGTCCCCTGTAAGTAATAAAGTGGTCCTGTATTCATTTTTTAAAACTGAAAAATATGCATATTTCCAAAGATTCTCACATTCATTCATTTATTTATTCAGCAGACATTTATTAAACACCTTCTATGTGCCAGGCAGATACAGTTATCTGCCCTTATACAGCCTAAAGCTATCGAATTTACTATTGACATATTAATAAAATTCAGTAAAAATATCTAAATTAGCCTCTGAAAACTTATATCACTTACTTGAATCTTCTTAACAGACTTATACATTACATTCAAGTTTTTTTTGTTAAAACTTGAAATACCACATATGTCTATAAACAACTGCCTCTAAAGAAAATGTATAGTTCATAAAGATTATTGCTAAAATTCTGTGAACTTTTTCTTCCTTACCTGTTATCTTATTTTTAATGTTTGTTTCTAACCATTGTGAGTGAATTAAAATATATTTAAAATTTTTTAATTCTTTCTGAGAGAGGATATAAAAAGAAACGAGATGATAATATAGATGGTTTATAGCTTCATTTAACTGTTTTACATGTCTTAACAATATAAGGTGAGTTACTGGGGAAATTATTTCTGGGCTTTTAAGAATCACAGTACTGCTACTCACTAGCTGACTAATTTTGATGAAGCTACTTGACTTTCTGAGCCCTGATTCTATCCTTTATAAATTGGAGATAATAATACTCATTATTTAACCCATTTTGATTGTAGACATTAAACTAGAAAATATTTGTGAATGTATTTTGAAAAGTCTAAGGCACTGTATGGATGTATTATTTTACATGATATCTGATTTCTGTCAACTCTCCCACAGGAGTATCAGCTCATGATAGGAGTCAGTAATTGGATGCTCTGGGTGGCCTATTTCTTCACATTCCTCTGTTTGTATTCCATTATCATCATTTTTATGTGCATAGTTTTCTTTGTCAAGGCAAGTGTCTATTTGACTGCAGCATGTTGTGAATAAACTCTGAGAGGGAAAGCGGAAACCTGGTGTGGGGCCAAATGGGCCTTGGGTTTCTAGGGGATGAGAATGTGGCTTTTGTTGACTCCACAGTGGAAACTCAGAGACTGCTTAGTCTCTCAGCAAACAAAACTTTAGACCTAGAGGGATGGGCCATCTGTAAGAAATAAATTGTTAACTCTCCATTTCACTGAGCAAAGTCATCAGTTTCACTAAGACTCTTAAAATACTTATGGATGTTTCATTTTTCCTCTTTGGTTTTGGTGCAGTACCACTTACAGCATGACTAAACTGGTTTCCTAATTGTTTTGCTAGGTTAAACCGGCACCAGTCATCCAAAGCAGTGACCCAACCCTTATCGTTATCTTTTTGCTGTTTTATGCCATCGCCACAATATGCTTCAGCTTTATGGTTAGCACTTTATTCAGTAAAGGTGAGTCTGAGATTCCAGTGGTGAAATATTCTCAGTAACTACACTTTAGCTGCCAACTCATCTACAGCCTCTAACCGAAAAGACAAATATCATATACATGTGAAATGATTTGGAAGGGAATGAAGAGACAATTAACATAGCATAGGATACATGTGAAAAAAGACAAAAACCAAAATAAGATCATGTCTGGATATTCTTTCTAACCTTTAGCTGCTACTTCATGTATGGTGTTTGTCAAACCCTTCCACCAGGAAGGGTTGAGATGGAGATGGCTCCTGTATATTCCGTTGGAGGGACTGATGTTTGCTAGTATCTGATGATGAGAGTGGTATATGTGAAGAGAAAGAAAACGGCAGTACTGCTTCAATGAAAGAAAGGGTTCTTGCACTTAATTAATAATCCTCATTGTGTGTCTTCTGTGTATTTGTTTTTGTTTTGTTTTGTTTTGTTTTTTGTTTGTTTGTTTGTTTTGAGACAGTCTCATTCTGTGGCCCAGGCTGGAGTGCAGTGGCTCAATCTTGGCTCACTGCAACCTCTGCCTCCTGGGTTCAAGCAATTCTCCTGCCTCATCCTCCCGAGTAGCTGGGACTACAGGTGCCTGGCACCATGCCCAGCTAATTTTTGTATTTTTAGTAGAGATGGGATTTCACCATGTTGGCCAGGCTGGTCTTGAACTCCTGACCTCAGGTGATCCGCCCGCCTGAGCCCCACAAAGTGCTGGGATTACAGGCATGAGCCACCATGCCCAGCATATGTATCTGAAATATACTGTCTGCCCCACGGAGCGAATACTGACCTTGGGGACATGAATATTATATGCAAACAAAGTAGTTTATGAAATACATTAGCAAGAGTCACATGATTTGCAGAGTACAAGCTGGGTACCCAGGAAAACCAGCGATATAATTCCAGTCTGACTCTGAAGGCCTGGGAACCAGGGGAGGTGATGGTGTAAATTCCAGTTCAAAGGCTGGAACAGACTGATATCCCAGTCAAGCAGGCAGCAAGGAAGAAATGAGAGAGAATTTCCCACTTCCTCCACCCTTTTGTTCTTTTTAGGCCCTCAACACATTAGATAATGCCTGCCCACATTGGGGAGGACCATCTGCTTTACTGAGTCTACTAACTCAAATGCTTATCTCATTTGGGAACCTCCTCACAGACACACCCAGAAATAATGTTTAATCTGTATACCCCATGGAGAGTCAAGTTGACACATAACATTAACCATCATAAGAAGACATGCAGAGAACAATGAAAATTAATGAAGTATAGTGTACACATTTAAAAAAAAGGAAATGGATTAAGATATTCCAGGTTGAGAAAGGCCTGGAAATGCTTCAATTGAGGTAGGTTTGTGAAGGACTGGAAGAAGGGAATGAATAGGAAGTCAAGTCAGTGGATGCAACTATTCATTCACTCATTCATTCATTCATTTAAATTTTTGGATATCTGTGACTGGGAGTGGTGGCTCACACCTGTAATCCCAGCACTTTGGGAGGCTAAGGTGGGTGGATCACTTGAGGTCAGGACTTCGATACCAACTTGACCAACGAGGTGAAACTCTGTCTATTGAAAATACAAAAATTAGCCATGTTCGTGGGCACCTGTAATCTCAGTTATTCAGGAGGCTGAGACAGGAGAATCACCTGAACCTGGGAGGTGGAGGTTGCAGTGAACCAAGATTGCACCACTGCACTATAGCCTGGGCAACAGAGTGAGACTCTGTCTCAAAAAAAAAGAAAAAGAAAGTGAGTATCTGACCTTGTATAGGGTCTAACATACAAAGAACAAGAAAAATCGTTTCCTTTCCCATTGAGGGCTTATGTGCAAAGTGGTTTTATGAATTTACAGCCTCACTGGAAGAAGATGAGAATCATCATGCTCCATATTCTTGCCAATATTTAGAATTACCAAGCTTTAAATTGTGCCAAATTAGGGCTATGAAATGTTATCGCATAGCAACTTAAATCTGCATTTCCCAATTGCTAACGAAGCCGAGCGTGTGTTACTAATATGAGTCATGTGTGTCTCCTCTTCTGTAACTCTGTTAATGCATTCTGATTTTTTATAGTTATTGAAAATTTCTCACAATATTTTTACTTAAAGTCTATTTTGTCTAATATTCATATAACCACCCTGATCTCTTTTTGTTATTTGCATGGAGTGTCTTTTTCCATCCTTTCACTTTCAACAAGTTTGTGTATTTGAATCATTTTTTAAAAATCCATTCTGCCACCTTTGCCTTTTAGTGAAGATAATAATACAGAACATTGGCCACACACGGTGGCTCACGCCTGTAGTCCCAGCTTTGGGAGGCTGAGGCGGATGCATCACGAGGTCAAGAGTTCGAGACCAGCCTGACCAACATGGTTAAACCCTGTCTCTACTAAAAATACAAAAATTAGCTGGGTGTGGTGGCATGTGCCTGTAATCCCAGCTACTCCAGAGGCTAAGGCAGGAAAACTACTTGAACCTGGGAGGCAGAGGTTGCAGTGAGCCAAGATCATGCCACTGCACTCCCGCCTGGGTGACAGAGTGAGACTCTATCTCAAAAAAAAAAAAAAAAAAATACAGAGCTGACATCATCTGCCGTTTGGGTATTTGTTTTATATATGTCATATCTTTTTTTCCCTCAAATCTTCCATTTTGAGTCCCATCTAATTTCCTTTTCTGTATATTTTCTAATTCTTCTCTGAGGGGGTAATTTGGATATTACAATTAGTATCTTAAACAATTTAATTTGGATTAATAACAATTTAGCTTTAATACTACACAAAAACTCTTCTGTCAAGCGTCAGCTCCTCTTTATGCTGGTATTTTTCCAAATTACATCTTTATATTGTGTGCCTATTAACACGTTTATCATTATTTTATGCATTTATCTTTTAAATCATATAAAAGGAAAAAGAAACCATTATCATAACACTGGCTTTTATATCTGCCTATGTAGTTACCTTCACTGGAGCTCTTTATTTTTTCATATGACTTCACGCTACCATCCAATGTCCTTTCATTAAGCTGAAAGAACCACATTGTAGGGCAGATCTATTAAATTTTCTTTGCTTTTGCTAATCTGAGAATTTCCTAATATCTCTTAATTTTTTTGTTTGTTTTTGAGACAGTCTTGCTCTGTTGCCCAGGCTGGAGTACACTGGTGCCATCTTGGCTTACTGCAACCTCTGCCTCCTGGTTCAAGTGATTCTCGTGCCTCAGCCTCCCAAGTAACTGGGATTACAGGCGTGTGCCACCATGCCTGGCTAATTTTTGTGTTTTTTAGTAGAGATGAGGTTTCACCACATTGCCCGAGCTGGTCTCTAACTCCTAGCCCCAAGCGATCCGCCCGCCTCAGTCTCCAAAAGTGCTGGGACCACAGGCATGAGCCACCACTCTTGGCCCTTCCTAATTTTTTTAAAAGATATTTTTAAGAACAGTCTTAGATTAAAAGCAAAATTATGATGAAGGTACAGAGATTTCCTGCAGACCCTCTGCTCCCCACATGCAAGGCCTCACCCATTATCAGCATCCCACATCAGAGTAGTACATTTGTTACAATTGATAAACCTATATTAACACATCGTAATCACTCAACTCCTGGCAAACTTATCTTTTTACTGTATTATTAATTTTTGTCTTTTTTTTCTTAGCATGCCTAAAGATTTATTAATATTTTCAAACAAGTAGCTTTTGGTTTCATTAATTTTCTCTACTGATCTCCTGTTTTTAATATCATTAATTTCTACTCTAATGCTCATGATTTCTTTTCTTTTGCTTACTGTGGATTTAATTTGTTCTTCCTTTTCTAGTTTCCTAAGGTAGAAACTTAGATTATTGGTTTTAGATCCTTCTTATTTTCTAATATATGTCTTCAACGCATTAATTTCTCATGATATTTCTTCTTTGACCCAAGTGTAATTTAGAAATATATCATTTAATCTCCATGTGTTTTGATGTTTCCCAGTGTGTTTCAGTTATTTTTTTTCTATTTTAATGTCATATGGTTTGAGAGCTGACATTGTATGATTTTTGTCCCTTTACGTTTGTTAAGATATGTTTTATGACCCAGAATATGGTCTGTCCCGGTGAATGTTACATGTGAGCTTGACAACAATTTGTATTCTGCTGTCGTTAAATTAAGTAGTCTATAGATGTTTATTATATACTATTGATTGATGGTGTTGTTGAGTTCAACTATGTCCTTAGTGATTTTCTGCCTGCTGGATCTGTCCATTTCTGATAGAGGGTTATGAAAGTCTCCAACTATGATAGTGGATTCAGCTTTTTCTCCTTAGAGTTCTATAGTTTTTCACTCATGTATTTTGATGGTCTGCTCTTAAGTGCATACACTTTAAGGATTGTTATGTCTTCTTGGAGATTTGACCCATTTATTGTTATGTAATGCCGTTCTTCATCTCTGATAACTTTACTAGCTTTGAAGTGTGCTGAGACTGTAATGTATATGGCTAGTCTTGCTTTCTTTTGATTAGTGTTAGCATGGTATATTTTTTCCACCCATTTGCTTTTAATCTACATGGGTTTTCATAGCTAACATGGGTTTCTTGTAGACCACATTCCATAGGGCCTTATTTTTTTCTAATCCCCTCTGACAATCTCTTTTAATTGATGCATTTAGACCTTTGACATTCAAAGTGATTATTAATATAGTTAGATTAATATCTACCATATTTGTTCAATAGTATTCTATTTGTTGCCCTTATTCTTTGTTTCTACTTTTGTCTTCCATTCTTTCTCTGCCTTTTGTGGTTTTCCTTGAGCATTTTATATGGTTCCATTTTCTCTCCCCAGCATATCAGTTGTACTTCTTTTTTCTTTTTTTACTTTTTTTAGTAGTTGCCCTAGAGTTTGCAATATACATTTACAGTAATTCAAAATTACTTTAAAATAACACTATATTACTTCACTAGTAGTGTGAGTACCTTATAATAACAAAATAATTCTAATTCCTTTCTCCCATCCTATCATGGTTGTCATTCATTTCATTTATATATAAACATACATAAATATATACCTAAGATATATGTATACATAAGTGTACATAATCAAATTCATTGTTGCTGTTATTTTTGTGAATCAACTCTTAGTTGTTAGATCAACTAAGAACAAGACATGTACATCATGATGACAATAGTTAATAATACTATATTGTATATTTCAATTTTTTAACTTTTATTAAGTTCAGAGACACAAGTGCAGGTTTGTTACACAGGTAAACTTGTGTCGTGGGGGTTTGTTGTACAGATTATTTCATTACCCAGGTATTAAGCCTAGTACCCATTAGTTATTTTTCCTGATCCTCTTTGTCGTCTAACTCTCCACCCTCCAAAAGTCCCCCATGTGTGTTGTTCCCCTCTATATGTCCATGCATCCTCATCGTTTAGCTCCCACTTATAAGTAAGAACATGCAGTATTTGGTTTTCCATTACTGTATTAGTTTGCTAAGGATAATGGCTTCTAGCTCCATCTATGTCCCTGCAAAGGATATGATCTCATTCTTTTTTATGGCTGCGTAGTATTGCATGGTGTGTATGTACCACATTTTCTTTATCCAAAGTAAATATTAAGTATTCTCTCTCCACCCGACCCCACACACACAAATATGAGATGATGTGTCAATCAGCTTGATTGTGATAATCATTTTACAATGTATAGGTATATCAAATCACATCATACACTTGAAATATATACAATTGTTATTTTTCAAAAAGGTGGGGGAAAAAGATTTTACGTTACCTTCACTTATTAATTCTTTGGTGCTCTTCTTTAAGTGGATTAGAGGTTCTAACCTAATCTACATAAAGAGATTCAGGTTTCACTTTTCTTCTCTTAAAATAATTTCTTTTAATGTTTCTTGCAAGGCGGGTGAACTGGCAACAAATTTCCTCAATGTTTGTTTGTCTAGGAAAGTCTATTTCTCTTTTACATTCAAAGGATAATTTCACAGGGTGCAGAATTTTAGATTGGAAGTTTTTTTCTTCCAACACTTTAAATATTTCAATCCCCTTCTGATTTTGTTTCTGAAAAGAAGTTGGATGTAATTATCTTTGTTCCTCTATAAGTAAGGTATTTTCTTCCTCTGGCTTTCTTCAGGCTTTTGTTTTCTTTATCTTTGATTTTCCGTAACTTGAAAATGATTTGCCTAGTTGAAGTTTTCTGGCATTTATCCTGCTTGGTGTCCTCTGAGTTTTCTGGGTTTGTGGTGTGGCGTCTGACGTTAATGTGGGGGAAATTTGCAGTCATTATTGTGTCAAATATTTCTTCTGTTTCTTTCTTTTTTCTACTTCTTATGTACTCATTATGCATTTATTATACCTTTTGCAATTGTCACATGGTTCTTGGATATTTTGTACTGTCCTTTTTTTTTTTTTTCAGTCTTTGTTTTCTTTGCTTTACAGTTCTTGAGATTTTTATCCACATATCTCTAAGCTCAGAGATTCTTTCCTTAGCCATGTCCAGTCTATGAATAAACCCCCCTCAAAGGCATTCTTCATTTTGGTTACACTGTTTTTAATCGTTAGCATTTCTTTTTCATTCATTCTTAGGATTTTTATCTCTATACTTATATTGCTTACTAATTTTGCCCACTGTTTACTTTATCTATTAGAGCCCTGTGCTGAGGGAAGCAATGTTGTATAAAACAGTCAAGTTTCTGTTTCTCACAGCACTTATTTTCGTGCACACCTCAACAAAAATATTTGCATGTTAGATTCTTGAAGATTGCTTAAATTGACCTTATAATTTTCTTCTTAATTGCAGTGAATATTGCAGTTGCTTTGGGAGGTTTGTTTTTCTTCGCCATCTACTTTCCAGCTGCTGGCCTCCATCTCTACTATGGAAAAATGACATTTATCCAGAAGCTGGCAGCCTGTCTCAGCTCAAATTTTGCAATGGCATTGGGAGTTAAATTTCTAGCTGATGCAGAAACATGGAGTGAGTATTTACCTTGTAATTTTTACAATGTTTCTAGTAGATACATCTTTGGTATCTGATTGGATATTTCCAATTCTAATATTGATTGAGACTGCTAAACTCCCCTTCAAAAAACTGCAGTACTATATACCACCACCTATAGACATGAGTGCTTCCGCAGTCTGTATTAGTATTTCCAAAATTTCCTGCAAGCCTCCTCCCACTCCTTTTGGAGTTGCCTCCTGCTGTCTAATGATAGATGGAAAGTGACACGGTCTGCTTTTAGTATCCTCCTTCCTTTTACTATGAGCGCAGTATCTATGCAAGAATTCTTCTAGTCTTCTGTCTTTTGGTCAGCATTCATCCCTACTTTTCAATGGTTATGTTTTTCTAAAATTTTTTATTTCCATGAACATTTGGCATGAGGAGGGGTGGAGAGAGAGGAGCCACTGTCTTAACAACCCATAAGCCTGCTTATTTTTGTTAAACCCTATTTTCCTGACTTTTATATATGTAACAAAAAAAAAATTTTTTTTTTTGCCTATGTGCTGGGAATGTTTTTATTTAATGCTTTCTTGTATAGCCTTGTATATAGAAGCTGCCTTTGTAGGAAGCTATGGTGTGCCCCAGACATGGAACTTTTTCTTACATATATAATTTTTTTTTTTTTTTGAGACAGTCTTGTTCTATGGCCCGGCTGGGGTACAGTGGTGTGATCTCAGCTCACTGCAACCTCTGCCTCCCAGGTTCAAGCGATTCTCCTGCCTCAGTCTCCCGAGCAGCTGGGATTACAGGCACCTGCCACCATGCTCAGCTAATGTTTGCGTTTTAAGTAGAAACGGGGTTTCACCACGTTAGCCAGGCTGGTCTCGAACTCCTGACCTCAGGTGATCTGCCCGCCTAAGCCTCCCAAAGTGTTGGAATTACAGGTGTGAGCCACCACACACAGCTACATTTTATTTTTGTTTCAGTCTTTTCCAATTATTTGCTTGTTTGGGGTATAATGGGGAGCATATTACCTGATTAGTTACTGAGATGCCCTCAGGGGCAACCTAAATTCTAAGGGTGCAAGAAAGTGACTGACTGTAGTAGGGATCTCCAGAAAGCATTAACACAATTATTTTCTTAAGTATTTAATTTGATACAGATAAATAACTGTTTTAACCTCAGTTGGCACCAAATTCATCCTCTGCTGTTATGTCTTAGGAGTTGGACTTAAATGGAGTAACATCTTCTCATCAACTACACTGGATAACTTTTATTTTGCCCATGTGCTGGGAATGTTTTTATTTGATGCTTTCTTGTATAGCCTTGTGGCCTGGTATATAGAAGCTGTCTTTCCAGGAAGCTATGGTGTGCCCAAGCCATGGAACTTTTTCTTACAGGTAAGTTATAATTCTTCTGTTATTGATAGAGGCGCCATCCTTATGAACTTCATTTATGATGTTTATAAAAGCACTGTCTGTAATAGAATCAGTAGGTCAGGTGGAAGAACCATTTTCATTTACACTCCAGCCATACTAATTCACTAGCCATTTCCTAATCCCCTCTAAGCCCTCCAGTAAACGTAAATAGAGGTAGATGATAGCTTGTGACCGGCTGGGCACAGTAGCTCACACTGGTAATCCCAGCACTTTGGGAGGCTGAGGTAGGTGGATCACCTGAGGTCGGGAGTTCGAGACCAGCCTGGCCAACATGGTGAAACCCTGTCACTACTAAAAATACAAAAATTAGCCAGGTGTGGTGGCGTGCCTGTACTCCCAGCTACTCTGAAGCCTGAGGCAGGAGAATCGCTTGAACCCGGGAGGCAGAGGTTGCAGTGAGCCAAGACCGTGCTATTGCACTCCAGCTGGGGCGACAGTGTGACACTCCATCTCAAAAAAAAAAAAAAAAGAAAGCTTGAGACCTCAAACTTTACAAATTATGAGTCATCTATCACTTTTATAGGAAAATGTTTTAAAAGGATTAAACTCTGGCATAAAGACATTAATATATGATGGGGCCAATGCAGTGACTCCCGCCTGTAATCCCAGCACTTTGGAAGGCCAAGGTGGGTGGATCTCCTGAGGTCAGGAGTTTGAGACCAGCCTGACCAACATGGCAAAACTCCATCTCTACAAAAATCCAAAAATTAGCCGGACATGGTAGCGGGTGCCTGCAATCCCAGCTACTCGGGAGTCTGAGGCAGGAGAATTGCTTGAACCCAGGAGGTGGAGGTTGCAGTGAACCGAGATCACACCATTGCACTCCGGCCTGCACAACAAGAGCGAAACTCCATCTCAAAAAATAAAAAATAAAAATAAATTAATATATGATGGGTCTTTACATGCTAGGAGAGGTTAGTTATATCTGGGTGCTCACCACCTGCATTATTTCCTTGGTTAGGTCAGATCTCCTAGAGTCAGAACCACAGAGAAAGGAGGAGTATTTGCATCCTGACTTCTCTTCTCAGTATTTTTTCATATTATCGTTCACTTCTGTATCGCTCAGAAAAGAAGATCCAATAGAGTAATATAATACTGTTTGCTATGGCCTCATCTCTCAGTGATTTTCTTTTGTCTTCCTTAAGTTTTTTTTTTTTTTTTTTTTTTTGAGATGGAGTCTCGCTCTTGTCACTCAGGCTGGAGTGCAGTGCAGTGGCGCGATCTCGGCTCACTGCAAGCTCCGCCTCCCGGGTTCATGCCATTCTTCTGCCTCAGCCTCCTGAGTAGCTGGGACTACTAATAGAATCAGTAGGTCAGGTGGAAGAACCATTTTCATTTACACTCCAGCTATACTAATTCACTAGCCATTTCCTAATCCCCTCTAAGCCCTCCAGTAAACGTAAATAGAGGTAGATGATAGCTTGTGACCGGCTGGGCACAGTAGCTCACACTGGTAATCCCAGCACTTTGGGAGGCTGAGGTAGGTGGATCACCTGAGGTCAGGAGTTTGAGACCAGCCTGACCAACATGGCAAAACTCCATCTCTACAAAAATCCAAAAATTAGCCGGACATGGTAGCGGGTGCCTGCAATCCCAGCTACTCGGGAGTCTGAGGCAGGAGAATTGCTTGAACCCAGGAGGTGGAGGTTTCAGTGAGCCGAGATTGCGCCATTGCACTCCAGCCTGGTCAGCAAAGCAAGACTCTGTCAAAAAAAAAAAAAAAAAAAAGGATAGTCCGTGTTTTATGCCCGGGGTGTTCAGACACTAGCCAATAAGCTCCAAAATTTTAATTTCAAGAAATTTTATGCAATCCATCTCAGTACAAAAGCTAACAGACCAAAGTATTGTTTAGTACTGCCTTTCCGTGCCATGGCAGTGATTGTACTTTTCTTCCCTTCATAGTGCTCTTACTGGTTTGTGGAATCACCTGAGAAAAAAACTGAAGTAAGTCAATTTTATGAGCAAATGCAAAGCAAGTATTTTGAAGCTGAACCAACGGATTTGAGAGCAGGTATCCAGATCAAACATTTGTGCAAGGTACTGTTTCAAAGATCTTTTATTCTTGATGAAACTGAAGCTTAGTTTACAGTTCATTGTAAATGCTTGTTACTGGAAATACAAAATAAAAATTAGATGTTAATAACAGGTCATAGCCATCATGTTTACTTCCTTTGAGAAAGATAAAATATATATAGTATATAATCAAAAGTGTCATTTTCTCCTCCCTCCAGAATATAATTAGATTTTGTTTTTTCTTTAACATTTATTTTATATTCAGGGGTACATGTGAAGGTTTGTTATATTGAAAAACTCAGGTCATAATGGTTTGATGTCCAGATTATTTTGTCACCCAGGTGACACTAAGCCTAGTACCCAATAGTTATTTTTTCTACTCCCCTCCCTTCTCCCAACCTCTACCCTCTGGGAGGTCCCAGTGCCTGTTGTTCCCGTCTTTGTGTCCATGTATTCTCATCATTTAGCTCCCACTCTTAAGTGAGAACATGCGGTATTTGTTTTTCTGTTCCTGTGTTAGTTTGCTAAAGATGATGGCCTCCAGTTCCATTCATGTTCCTGCAAAGGAAATGATCTTGTTCTTTTCTGTGGCTGCGTAGTATTCCATGGTGTATATGTACCACGTTTTCTTTATTCAGTCTACCATGGATGGGCATTTAGGCTTATTGTATGTCTTTGCTATTGTGAATGGTGCTGCAGTGAATGTACACACGCATGTGTCTTTATGATGGAACAATTTCTGTTCCTTTGGGTATATACCCAGTAATGGGATTGCTGGCTCGAATGGTAGTTCTGCTTTTAGCTCTTTGAGGAATTGCCACACTGCTTTCCACAATGGTTGTACTAATTTATACTCCCCTAACAGTGTATAAGCATTCCCTTTTCTCTGCAACCTCACCTGTATGTTACTTTTTGTTTTTTTTATTTTCTTATTTTTTTATTTTTTTATTTTTTTGAGACGGAGTCTTTGCTCTGTTACCCAAGCTGGAGTGCAGTGGCACAATCTCGGCTCACTGCAAGCTCCACCTCCTGGGTTCACGCCATTCTCCTGCCTCAGCCTCCTGAGTAGCTGGGACTACAGGCGCCTGTCACCACGCCCGGCTAATTTTTTGTATTTTTAGTAGAGACGGGGTTTCACTGTGTTAGCCAGGATGGTCTCGATCTCCTGACCTTGTGATCCGCCCGTCTCGGCCTCCCAAAGTGCTAGGATTACAGGTATGAGCCACCGCGCCTGGCCGACTTTTTAATAATAGTTATTCTGACAGATATGAGTACTTTTGATTTGCAGTAGTTTTGATTTGCATTTCTCTAATGATCAGCAGTATTGAGCTTTTTTTCATATGCTTCTTGGCCACGTGTATGTCTTCTTTTGAAAAGTCTCTGTTCATGTCCTTTGTCGACTTTTTAATGGGATTTTTTTTTCTTGTAAATTGTTTAAGTTCCTTATAGATGCTGGATATTAGACTTTGTCAGATGTATAGTTTGCAAAATTTTTCTCCTATTCTGTGGGTTGTCTGTTTACTGTGTTGATAGTTTCTTTTGCTGTGCAGAAGCTCTTTCGTTTCATTAGATCTCATTTGTCAATTTTTGCTTTGGTTGCAATTGCTTTTGGCATCTTCATGAAATCTCTGCCAGAGTTGATTTTTGTATATGGTGTAAGGAAAGGATCCTATAAACTACAACTTATATTTTAGTGTGGATAAAAGTGCTTAACAACTGAATGAAAAATAAGATAATTGTAGTACACAGTATATGCCATTAGGAAAATAAATAGAGTGATGATCTATTAATTGAGAGAAGGATTGATAGGAGGAACATTTCTGATAAGTTATGTTATGTTAATGATAAGTTATGTTAATGAAGCATCTCTGAAAATATGGCCATTGTGGATGCCACGACCCTCTCCAACAATATAACCTCAGTTGAACAGAGCCACCTCATCCCAAATTAGGCTCGTTTTCCTGGAATAGCCTACATCCAGTGACTGCTCAAGGTGGGGATATTAAGGCCCAGCTTTTTCCTCCAGCTCCAGTCAGCTCTGAATGGTCATCCAAGCTGCAGAACTCCTTGTGTGGTTGACCTTGTTGTCACTGTATGTACTGTAGCCCTACTATTTTTTCTCCCAAATTGGTATCCTTCCTTTCTTCACACAGGTGTTGGGCCCAAGAACACTCCTGCATGCTAATTTCTCTTATGTAAACTTCCTGGATGCCAATTTTCATCTTACCGTTTACTTCCCAGGGAACCAGTTAGTGATTGCTGATACCCAGAGTTGCCAGAGAAAGTAAATGATAAGATAAGTGGTAGACTCTGGTACAAGTTAGCAGTACAGTGTTCATATGTGGTGAATTGGGATGATATACCAGGGGAAATAAATGCATCAGTTAGTGACATCCATCAAGCATTTGAAAAATATGGGATTAGTAGTAGTTACATGGACTATAGAATTGGATAGGTATTGCTGGGGGAGAACGGATACATGGACATTGTTTACGATTAACCATCAGAGGCTAGGTGTTATAAAATCTAGTGAGCCTCCCAGGAAACATATAAAGAGATTCTCATCCACAGTAGCCAAAGAAAAGAAAAAAACTGAGAACTAAGCCCCAAACTTAATCAAAAGAATAGGAGAGCTCTAGAAAAGCTTAAATTCTTAATCTGTGCAGGTTTGCTTTACCAGGACTTTGAGTCGATGCTATAAAGGATTGTGGAATTGGGAGCAGGTGAAGGTATTTTGCACATGGGAGGAACATGAATCACTGGAAGCGAAAGGTAGACTACAGTTGGCAGGCTTCACAATGGTCCCCAGCGATCCTCACCTCCTGATATTCACACCCTTGTCCAGTCCTCTCCTGTGTGATCTGTATAATACAATGGAAGTGAAAATAGCAGGTATTGTGAATTTTACTTTGGTCTTCAGTTGCTTGCCCTTAAGTAAGCCACCATGTCTTTCAAGCTGCCCTGTGGACTTGCTTCTGTGGACAAGAACCAAGGCTTTCCAATATAACCAGTACCAGCTTCCCAGCCGTGTGAGTGAGCCCCCTTGGAAGTGGATGTCTTGGCTTCTGTCAAGCTTCAGGTGACTACAGTACAAGTTAACACCTTGACTGCAACCTCAGAGAAACCCTGAATCAGTCCCATCCAATGAATCTACTATATGACTGTTTTGCAAGTGGACCCAGAGAGCATTTATCGAAGCATTAAGAAATGTGCTAATAAGAGGAACACCAGCATCATTGGGAACTGTTGCCAATAGGAGATATTATTGCAGAACTGGACTCACTGATAACAACGGAGATATGATTCAAAAATAATCGCGATCAGGGTGTGGCACAGGCTAAATTATTAGGAACAATTTTCCTAATAAGTGACAAGTTTGGAGTGGCAGTCTGGGGCACTTGATCCACAAATGATGGTTAATAAAACACAATTTCCTGGAGGCAAGATAGATGGGCAGCCAGTGAGGGCATTGCTCAAACCATACAACCAGAAGTGTGGATGAATGAATCATTAGGAGCCGGAGGCAAGGCACCCAGTAGTAATTAATGGTCTCCTCCATCCTTTTCAGTTTTCAGAGCTGACACCTATTGACTGGAGGAGGGGCTTGATTGCTAAGTGGAAGCAGACTGCAAAACTAAGGCAAAGGCACGTGATAATGATTACCCGAGTCTTTCTGCAAAAGGACCTATAGCTATTTGTCTAGGTAATACTCAGAGATGCAAAGTGTCCTCATAGTCCCCTTGTTTAACCAGGGGTATGTGCAGGCTAGGTAATAAATGAAATCCTGGTCCTTGTCCGGCTTACAGTAGGTACACTGGGACCGTGGACACACCCAGTGGGCATCTCCACAGCTGTCACATGTACAATTGGAAACGACATACTTTGTAGCTGGTGTAACCCTTACATTGGCCCCATGGCCTCTAGAGAAGAGCTGCCTCTACAGGGTCAAATCAAGTTGAATCCTTTGAAACTACCTACCTCCACTAGCCAAGATGGTAAATCAAAAGCATTGTTACATTCTGGGGAAGTGGCAGATATTAGAACCACCTTTGAAGAATGTATTACTAGAGGCTGGGCGTGGTGGCTCATGCCTGTAATCCTAACACTTTGGGAGGTTGAGGCAGGTGGATTACAAGGTCAGGAGATCAAAACCATCCTGGCTAACACAGTGAAACCCCATCTCTACTAAAAATACAAAAATTAGCCAGGCATGGTGGCACGCTTCTGTAGTCCCAGCTACTCGGGAGGCTAAGGCAGGAGAATCACTTGAACCTGGGAGGCAGTGGTTGCAATGAGCCAAGATGGCACCACTGCATTCCAGCCTGGGTGACAGAGCAAGACTCTGTCTCAAAGAAAAAGAATGTATTAGTAGTGATCTCTGGTCACATTACCATTTAAGTTACCACTCTGGTTCGTGCAAAAATCCACCCAGATGAATGCTGTGGGATGACAGTGGATCTACCACAAACTCAAGTAAATAGTTGACTCAGTTGCAGCTGTGTCTAGTATCATTTGCCTGTGGCAGGAGATTAACACAACCTATGGACATAATGTGAGACCATTGATTTGGAACATCTCTCTTTCCATCACTATCAGATCAGAGATTTTTGTATTCATTTGAAATGAACACCAATATATATTTACTTGTGTCCAGAGCTATAAAGATTCTTTGGCTGTCTGGCCTAATATAATCTGAAAGGACATGGACTGGCTATTCATCTTGCATCTGGCCAAAGATTTCTTGAATAAGACCTCTAAAGCACAGACATCAAAGCAAAAATTGGCAAATGGAATTGTGTCAGGCTTAAAAGCTTCTGGCCAGGCACGGTGGCTCACGCCTGTAATCCCAGGACTTTGGGAGGCCGAGGGAGGAAGATCACGAGGTCAGGAGTTTGAGACCGGCCTGGCCAATACGGTAAAACCCTGTCTCTACTAAAAATACAAAAATTAGTCGGGCGTGGTGGTGTGTGCCTGTAGTCCCAGCTACTCAGGAGGCAGAGGCTGAAGAATCACTTGAACCCGAG